GCGGGGATGGAGCCAGTAAAGGTGAGTGTAGGTGGGGAGGTTAGGGAGGAGATAGGTCAGTCCAGGGAGGACGGACAGGTCAAGGGGGCGGGATGAGGTTAGTAGGTAGGAGATGGGGGTGGGGCTTGAGGTGGGAGGAGGCAATAGGTGGGAGGAAGGACAGGTTAGGGAGGCGGGGTTGAGCTGGGCTGGTTTTGGGATGCGGTAGAGGGAGGGGAGATTTTGAAGCTTGAGAAGTCCACATTGATACCATTGGGCTGCAGGGTTCCCAAGCGGGATATGAGTTGCTTTTCCTGCAACCTTCGGGTAGCATCGTTGTAGCACTGCAGGAGATCCAGGATGGACATGTCATCTGAGGAATGGGAGGGGGAGTTGAAATGGTTTGCGACTGGGAGGTGCAGATGTTTAGTGCGAACTGAGCATAGGTGTTCTGCAAAGCGGTCCCCAAGCCTCCGCTTGGTTTCCCCAATGTAGAGGCGGCCACAACGGGAACAGCGGATGCAGTATACCACATTAGCAGATGTGCAGGTGAACATCTGCTTGATGTGGAAAGTCTTCTTGGGACCTGGAATGGGAGTGAGGGGGGCGGTGTGGGGGCAGGTGCAGCACTTCCTGCGGTTGCAGGGAAAAGTGCCAAGTGTGGTGGGGCTGGAGGGGAGTGTGGAGCGGACAAGGGAGTCATGGAGAAAGTGGTCCCTCCGGAAAGCAGATAAGGGTGGAGAGGGAAAAATGTCTTTGGTGATGGGGTCGGATTGCAGATGGCGGAAGTGTCGGAGGTGATGCATTGGATCCGGAGGTTGTTGGGGTGGTACGTGAGGACGAGGGGGATTCTGTTTTGGTTGTTATTGCGGGGAGGGGGTGTGAGGGATGAGTTGCGGGAAATGCGGGAGACACAGTCAAGGGTGTTCTCGACCACTGAGGGGGGGAAGTTGCGGTCCTTGAAAAACGAGGACATCTGAGATGTACAGGAGTGGAATGCCTCATCCTGGGAACAGATGCGGCGGAGGTGAAGGAATTGGGAATAGGGGATGGCTTTTTGCAGGAAGGTGGGTGGGAGGAGTGTATTCTAGGTAGTTGTGGGAGTCAGTGGGCTTGAAATGGATATCAGTTTCTAGGTGGTTGCCGGAGAAGGAGACAGAGAGGTCCAGGAAGGAGAGAGAGGTATTAGAGATGGTCCAGGTGAACTTAAGGTTGGGGTGGAAGGTGTTGGTGTAGTGGATGAACTGTTCAAGCTCCTCGTGGATGCATGCGGCGGCGCCGATACAGTCATCAATGTAACGGAGGAAGAGGTGGGGTTTAGGGCCAGTGTAGGTACAGAAGAGGGATTGTTCCACGTAACCTACGAAGAGGCAGGCATAGCTTGGGCCCATGCAGGTACCCATGGCCACCCCCTTTGTCTGTAGGAAGTGGGAGGAATTGAAAGAGAAGTTGTTAAGGGTGAGGACGAGTTCGGCTAAGCGGATGAGGGTGTCTGTGGAGGGGGACTGGTCGGGCCTGCAGAACAGGAAGAAGCAGAGGGCCTTTAGGCCATCTGTATGGGGAATGCAGGTGTACAGGGACTGGACGTCCATGGTAAAGATGTGGTGTTGGGGACCGGGGAATTGGAAGTTCTGGAGGAGGTGGAGGGTGTGGGTGGTGTCATGGACATAGGTAGGGAGTTCCTGGACCAAGGGGGAGAAAATGGAGTCCAGATAGGTGGAGATAAGTTCAGTGGGGCAGGAGCAGGCAGAGACAATGGGTCGACCAGGGCAGTCAGGTTTGTGGATTTTGGGAAGGAGATAGAAGCGGGCGGTGCGGGGATGGGGAACGATGAGGTTGGAGGCTGTGGGTCACCTGAAGTGATGAGGTTGTGGATGGTTTGGGAGATGATGGTTTGGTGGTCGGGGGTGGGGTCATGATCAAGGGGGCGGTAGGAGGTGGTGTCGGAGAGTTGGTGTCTGGCCTCGGCGATGTAGAGGTCAGTGCCCCATACTACAACTGCACCTCCCTTGTCCGCAGGTTTTATGGTGAGGTTGGGATTGGAGCAGAGGGAGCAGAGGGCTGCACGTTCTGCGGGGGAGAGGTTGGAGTGGGTGAGAGGGGTGGAGAGGTTGAGGCGATTGATGTCACGACGGCAGTTGGAGATGAAGAGGTCAAGGGAGGGTAGGAGGCCTTGGGGTGGAGTCCAGGAGGAGGGGGTGTGTTGGAGGCGGGAGAAGGGGTCAGTAGAGGGAGGGTTAGGCTCACGGTTAAAGAAGTAAGCGCGGAGGCGGAGGCGGCGGAAAAACTGCTCTATGTCCAAACGTGACCGGTATTCGTTGATGTGTGGGTCGAGGGGGACAAAAGTGAGCCCTTTACTGAGGACTGACCGTTCGTCCTCAGTAAGGGGGAGGTCTGGTGGGATGGTGAAGACTCGGCAGGGCTGGGTGCTGCTGTCTCCTCTGGAGCTACTGGCTGTGGAGGCGGTGGGCGGAGCGACGTTGGCGTCGGCTGTGGGCAGAGTTGCATCGGCGTCAGCGGTGGGCGGAGTTGCATCGGCGTCGGCGGTGGGCGGAGCGCCATTGGCGGTGGGTGGAGGGGGTAGGCGGCGGCAGCAAAACCGGTGTCAGCAGATGCGTCCTCAGTGTCTATGGTGTTGGCTTCGGAAATGGAGGCAGTGGCATCAGCAGCGGTGTCGATGGCGTTCACTGTCCGGGAAGTGGTGTACCCGGCGGCAGAGGATGTGACGTCATCCGTGGGTGCTCCGACAGTGGCCACATGGCTAATGGCAGCGGGCACATTGTGGGGAAGGTCCTGGGTAGGGTTGGGGTTTTGGGGGTGGAGGAAGCCCGTTTTGGGTGCTAGGCACCAGTAAGTTTACTGTACTTATGGTTTTTTGTGTCCAATAAAGCTGAGTAGAATTGTGAGTTCAGGTTGTGGATCCTACGAAGAATAAAAAACAGGAGAGGTCCTTTGCAGGTCTGGGAGAGGAAGGCTCTGAGCTGGGATAGGCTTGACTGTAGTGCCAGGAGATGCCGGCGCATTGCTGAGAGTGTGTATTTCAGGAGCCGCAGGGAGAAACGTTTCTGAAGGGTCTCAATGTTCTGAATGTAGACATTGTCACGGATGGGGCCAAATTGGGAAGGCCTGAATGTGGACTGTAGTCCATTGGGGATGATCTGGTTCCATAGGCAGGTACTAAGAAAGGTGATGTAGTACCTGGTTTGCTTCAGGACATGGTCGAGCAGTTTCAAGGCCGAAGAGATTACGAGAGAGTTGAAGTGGGAGAGAGATCCACTAAGGTTTTTCTGGAGGGAGGAGGGTAACTTCTTCAAGGTTGGCATCCTTCGAAGAGGCTTTGCAGTGGGGTTAAAATTGTTTTAGAGATAGTAGGAACTGCAGATGCTGGAGAATCTGAGATTACAAGGTGTAGAGCTGGATGAACACAGCAGGCCGAGCAGCATCAGAGGAGCAGGAAGGCTGATGTTTCGGGCCGAAACCCTTCTTCAGAAATGGGGGAGGGGAAGGGGGATCTGAAATAAATAGGGAGAGAGGGGGAGGCGGATAGAAGATGGATAGAGGAGAGGATAGGTGGAGAGGAGACAGACAGGTCAAAGAGGCGGGGATGGAGCCAGTAAAGGTGAGTGTAGGTGGGGAGTTAGGGAGGAGATAGGTCAGTCCAGGGAGGAAGGACAAGTCAAGGGGGCGGGATGAGGTTAGTAGGTAGGAGATGGGGGTGGGGCTTGAGGTGGGAGGAGGGGATAGGTGGGAGGAAGGACAGGTTAGGGAGGCAGGGACGAGCTGGGCTGGTTTTGGGAGGCGGTAGGGGGAGGGGAGATTTTGAAGCTTGTGAAGTCCACATTCCCAAGCGGAATATGAGTTGCTGTTCCTGCAACCTTCGGGTAGCATCGTTGTGGCACTGCAGGAGACCCAGGATATGCTCCAAATAATAGAGATGCAGTTCATACAAGCTGAGACTTTATTCAAGTGAGAAAAGAAAGAAATTTGTTGCCATAATGTTGAGATTGTGCTTAGACAGGAAAATTGGAAGAAGAATAGAGATCTGATATGCAGGGGTTTATGTTATTTAGCGAATAATCCTACTGTATCTATTGTTTAATTTATGTCATTTTAGAAGCAGTATATTAAGTTCCCCATGTCTGAAGGAGGAAGAAGGTTCCTAAAATGCAACACACCCACTATCTTCTACTTTCCCAAGGCCCAGCTCCTATTTTACAAGGTCCTGCCTCCCCCTGGTCCTGTCACTATTTTACCCACAGCAGGAGGGCACCCACACCGGCTGGGTGTTCTGGCAGCATTAGCTGCGTGCGCTGGTGTCAAGCAACTGGGAGGGGAAGGTACCGTATTCCACACCTAGACCTTTAGCCCCTCTTCCCCTTGCTGGCTCTGTCATCCAGGAGCAGTCAATATCCCAGACCTCCAATCCAGCTCCATTAACTCCTTTTCTTGGGGTGTTGGCTGTAGCCTCAGTGGTGGTTACAGCTCAAACTTGGCATGATTGGCATTACAGAGCTGCTGGTCAATCCATTTAGCTGGCAGCTCTCTAAGGCTGCACTTTGTCCCAATTTTGCGACAAGAGGTCTTGCCTTCATCTGAATCTGCCAAATATTAAATACCTATGGGGTTGCCAGTATCACTTCGGATACATTCCCCACTGATAACTCAGGTGTCGGAACAGAAAACTCTCTGGTTGAAAAATATCCTGCCTGTCATGGAAAAGCTGTGGACTATACCATAGAAAGCCATGTCTTGCAATAACCTTTATAAAAAGATGCAATTCCACTTTAATAACATATGCTTCATATCACATTACTAAAAAAAAGCAGAAAACTCTGGAAAATACAACATCTGGGAAGAGGAAAGAGGAGACCATAAATTTGAGTGTGTACTCTTCAGGGAACACATCCAAAATAACACAGCATGTCTCTTCTCTTCAGATATCAACAAATTTGCTGTACATTTTTCAAGCTTTTTTTAGATCTACATTATCTTCCTTTTAATTTTACCGCTGCCTTTCTAACCTGACTGAGGGTTTTCCAGTGTCATTAGTTCCAAATGCAGTGCCAAAATCCCGAAGAGATTTGCTGTCCGTATTGATGTCCTCATCCAACTGTCCATCTGGATTCTCTTTGTTTAAGTTGTAGTTAGCAGAAAGTACAGCGTGGGAATCAGAATCTACAATAGCAAAATAAGACAGAAACTTTAATGGAGAAAGCACAGCAAAACAAGTTTTTTGATTTACTTTGTGTCTGTCACAGTTCACGTATTTATTTTTTTAACAAACATAAAAATAATTTATTTGGAATGTGCTGCTATTATGTCAAGTTCCCCTGAGTTATGTGGTCTGAGATCTTGAAATGTAATGGTGAACATCCTGTCACAATCATTTCAAATCTCTCTTTGAAGCATCAACATCGAAAGAGGCATGTTTTCAGATCAGCATCAATTAGTTACAGTTGAGAAGATAAACTATTTTTGAGAGTTGTGTTTGGCCATCAGTGGTCAAGTGCTCATAATCTTACCCTCAGCTGTGCCCTTGCTGCCTGCCAGTAGGATGGGAATATTTACCAGTGCCAATCATTTGGAAGATTAGATTTCCAAAGCCAGTTGCTCCAGGCAAAAGAACATTCCCAGCAGTGGGTTCCACATAGCAGAAGCCTTTGTTTCCATTCATTTCACAGACTATCATTTGCCCATCTCAATACACAGACAAAATTTAGCACATTTCAAATGGAAAAAAATGACTATTGATCAAAATATGTCCATTTCCTTGAAAATATTCGGTGGTTAAATGTTGGCATTGAGCCCAGGAATGACTACAAATGTAAGATGATTTTTGGTGAAATGTTATTTTTTCATGATAAGCTAGTGGTTATAAAAGGTGAATTGGGTGGTTCGTGATACAGATGCAATTAGTAAGGTATTCAGGAATTAAAACCAAGAAGTGATAAAGGATACAGGTATTTGGGTTAAGAATTGTAAGATGTCACTAATATATGCCAACAGTTATGTCAGTTGTCACAGAAGTACAAGATGATAAAACATAGAAGGAGGCCATTGGCCTGTACTTGCTCATTCAAAGAGCAATACAATTAGTTTTACACTCTTTCCCTGGTAACACTGAATTCCACTCCAAAAGACCACTTCAGGATTGATCCAATTATGTTTTGAAAGTTATGATTGAATTTTCTTCCATTGCCCTATCACACAGTTCATTTTAGATCATAACTGCCTATTGTACAAAATATATTTTCCTTATATTGTCTCTGGCTCTTTTGTAAAGCTATTATTAATTTATGACCACTGGTTACTTAGAAACACAATTAGAAACAGTTTTGCATCACTCCAATAAATCTCTATTAAATCAACACTTAACCTTCCCTGTCAGAAGTTTCTTGAGACTTTCCACACAACTGAGAACATTAATTCCTGATACCATTCTGGTACATCACTAAGGCCTTGACTTCATCTGAAAAGCGTGGTGTCCTGATCTGTGCCCCATCCTCTCAGATTAAGCCTCACCTGTTACATCCAGCCCTGATGACCATATCTACCTAAACAAGTGAATCACAAACTCAGAGACGTTACGGCACAGAAAGAGGTCACTCGGCTTATTGTGTCTTCATTGGGTCTTTTTGTTCCTTTGATTCAATTCTTGAATCCTGTGGAATTATCCTCCTTTCCAGCACTGCAAAGCTCTCCTTAACCAATACTGCCATCCTTCCTCATTTCCTTATTTTCTGTCTCTTCTGAATACCTGTAGTCAGGAATATTTAACAACCAGTCCTGCTTTTCCATGAGCCAGGTCTCTATTTGTGCCATGGCACTGTATTTACACAAAGCAATCTGCACTTTATTAATGCTGATTGCAGAACCACGTTCCCTCTTCCCACCTAAGTCATCGGTACCAATGTAGACCATGGCCTGTGGCTGTTCACTCTCCCCCAGAGAATCTCCTGCAGCTGCTCTATGATGCCCTTGACCCTGCCTCTAGGGAGGCTACATACCATCCTGGAATCCAATCTCCAGTCATAGAAAAATCCATCTTTCCCCTAACAAATTAATCCCTTATCACAATCACTCCTCCTTTCTTCTTCCTCTCATCCTGTACCGTCAGCCAGAAGCTTGGCTCTTGAGGAACTAACTTCTCCATCAGCTTCGAAAACAGAAAGGTGCTTTGTGAGTGGGACCATCGTAGGCTGATACTCCATCTGCTTGTTTCTGTAGAACTGCCGGGCAGTCGCCCATTCGTTTTCTGTCTCCATGCTTGTGAAGCTATGGTGTGACCTCTTCTCAATGTACATAATTCTCAGCCTTGAAGATGTGCCACAGTGACTCCTGTTGCTGTTTGGGCTCTAAAACCTAGAACTCATGCTGCTGTACCTGCCAGCATTTCCTGCACCGTGGTTATCCAGGACACTGCTAACGTTCATGACTTGGCACATAATACAGATCTGTCTTCAGATCTATCCAGATACCTGAGCTACACACAACTGAAGCAGCTGAAAGGATTATTCTATAATTGCCATGGTAGTGATTTGATTCTGATTGTTACTTTTCTCTGACTGACTGTTAGGCCTACTCATAGAAGTCAGCTGGTGAGTCTTCAGAGAGAGTACCCCTTGATCCTATAGGCTTGTCAGTGATATTGTAAAGAGTACAGTGTGAATCCCTGCAGGAGATGTGAATCCTGCCTAAGTAGCTCAGATCACCATGATCACCTCCCAGCAGTCATAAAATAGCTAGTCATTGAAGGAAACCAAAAGAACTGCGGATGCTGTGAATCAGGAACGAAAACAGAAATTGCTGGAAAAGCTCAGCAGGTCTGGCAGCATCTGTAAAGAAAAAAATCAGAGTTAATGTTTTGGGTCTGGTGACCCTTCCCCAGAACTGATGGTAGCTGGGAAACTGACTTTTTCTGATTGGTGAACTCTGATTTTTTTTCTTCACAGATGCTGCCAGACCTGCTGAGCTTTTCCAGCAACTTCTGTTTTTGTTGTTGTAGTCATTGAAGTTGTGGAATTGCCTCTCATTGATAAATACTCCAGAATCACCTCAGGGTATTTTAATTGCTAAGTGCGTGCATTCGATGACTCCCTGCACTTGTGGGAGTCCTGCCACTACAGTGAAACGGAAAGCCCTCTGTGCCTGAGATAGTGGGAACTGCAGATGCTGGAGAATCTGAGATAACAAGGTGTAGAGCTGGATGAACACAGCAGGCCAAGCAGCATCAGAGGAGCAGGAAAGCTGACGTTTCGGGTCTGGACCCTTCTTCAGAAATGCTCTCAGCGCCTGATTGGCATTATCTGTATTTTCCAAAGCCACCAATTGTGTGAACATGCCAAAGCATCTGTAGCCAATAGATGGTAAGATTCTGAAATTATCTTCCATATGTCTAGACGGTAGTGGAGGTGAAGAAACTCAGAGCTGTGGTGACCTTGAGATCATTGAAAACACAAGCTGGTTCAAGGAGTTTGCAGATGTCAGCAATGATGTGCTGTGAAAGCATGAGTCTCTGACTGCAGCTCCATTACATTGAAGATCACCATCTTGACAGTAGACCCTGTGCTGGAGGTGTTACCTTGCAGCACAGCTCTGTGCCCAGATCCTTTGTCACAGGCACCTGCTGCTGGAATTATTGCTGCTTCTCATGCTGTTACTGCTGGTTCTGCAGCCATGATTGCAGCTCTTGTTTGGGCTGTTGCTGGTGTGACTGTTCCTTACTAGGGGTCCAGGCTCCTATTGCATATGTTTCTCTCATGTTTACAGTAATAATGAGATGAATAGAATGATACTCAAAATCACTTGAAAAAGTACATGAAAGGTAAAATTGAAAATTACTTTCAAAAGTTGCAATTGACACACTAATTAGTGAAATACTGATGCCAGATTGCCAGAACCAATCCTCTAAGTACAAGCCTTTCACTATGGCTGGCCACAAGCTGAACAATTCCACCCTTTAATGGCACCCTGCATATCCATTTTATTAGACAGTTAGAATGCCTGTAGTGTTCTTGCTTCATTGACCCTGACAAGATGTAGAGAACTTGGAAAACTTGAGCACTGTCTTTTAAAGTGAAGGGTTAATGCCAAAGCTAATTACTCACCTGAATATTTTAATAACAATCCTGACACCTGTACGGGTATTCCCCAAACTCTTGCGAGCTCAAGTCAAACCTGGAAGAAGTTGCAAGGTATTGGGTTCCCAGTCTAACTCTATTTTCTAGGAACTTAACCTAGAACCTGCATCAGAGCTCACTTCCCTTTAGAAGTTAGAATTCTGTTTGATGCCTTGATCTATAAAGCCTAGGATCTCAAACACCCATTCAGCAACCTTTTCAGCTTGTCATGCCACCTGCAAAGACTTGTGGGTATATTCCCTAATCCCTCCCCCAGTCCCACACTTTGTCATCAGGGCTCACACTTCCTGCATTGCATTTTAAAATCGGAACATTGTATTCACAAAGTGTCTTCTCATTCATCTTCCTAAGTTGAATCACTTCATATCTTCCTGCCTATTTCACTAATCCACTGCAGTTTGCTTTACTATTTACATCATTTCTGAGTTTTGTGTCATATGTACTCTTTGAGTTACAAACTGCATTCCAGATAGATAACAATAAAACGGTGGTCCCTATACTAACCTTTAGGGGATAATACTGCATACTTTTCTCCAATTTGGAAAAACAACTGTTCATCACTAATGTCTACCAGGATATTTTCTGTCCACTGGGATATTTTATGCCTCCTGGGATATTTTCTGTCCACTGGGATATTTTCTGTCCACTGGGATATTTTATGCCTCCTGGGATATTTTATGCCTCCTGGGATATTTTATGTTCATGTAGCCACTGCTCTTTAATCTCACTTCTGTTAACAAGTCAGTTGTGTGGTTACAGGTTTGTTCTGTGGCATTTTAATCAAACATCTTCCAAAAGTCCAAAATGCACACCAACTGTACTATCTTTGCAAACCCACTCCGTTACTTCATCAACAAACACAATTAAGTGGTTGAAACACGAACCATGCCTATAATAACTTAATGAAACCAAATTAATTCTGCCCAGATTATTGACCTTAATGTTTCTCAGCATTGATGTAAGGCTTATTGGCCTGTAGTTGTCAGATTTCTTTTGTTATTGTAGGTGTGAAATTTGCAATGCACCAATATTCTG